TGCAGGTGAGATATGCGGTGATATGTCTGGCCGTGGACCTTGAAGACATATGGGCCTCGTCCTGGCAAATCGACGATCCTCGCTCCCATCGACACGAAGGAAACTGCGCTATTATAGGATGGTACGTGATCGCGGAAGTTAGCGTGGGTCAGTCAGCAATGCGTGGAGAAACGCAGAATATTCCAGCTCAACTCCATTGATGTCCTTTTGCTTTGGCAACTTTAATTTGCCCTTATGGCAGCACGAAGTGAATTTCCGATCAACAGGGTGTTCTGAGATGACGTTTCTCGAGCCGCAGAACTGGCAGATGATGTTCATTGGACTGCAATTGTGCGCCTCTACTCGAGTGTTGTCGAAATTTATGGCTTCATTGCAGAACGCTTGTCTCTGATGCTCTGTAACTAAGTGCTGACTCTGAATGACCGCTGCATGCCGCGACTGGGATTTCTCAGCAGTTTGTCGATTGATGTAACATTTCGATTTGAAGCTGTCGTGACTGCAAGGATTCATCTAATTTGGTTCTTTCGGTAAAGTCACGTAGAATGACAATAAAATAATAAAATAACAATAAAATTCTCACGACGTTTCGGCCACAACGACGGCTGCTTGCGGCCGTCGTTGTGGCCGAAACGGCCGCTTGCGTTGTGGCCGAAAAGTCGTGAGAATTTTATTGTGTTATTTTATTATTTTATTCTCATTCTACGTGACTTTACCGAAAGAACCAAGGAAGATGATGTAACATTGTTGAGATTGACAATGTGCTGCACGAATTGTCTCGAGTGACTCCTGATTTTGCTTGGCCAACCATCTTTGCTTTCGTTCATTAGCCTTTCGATGTTTTTTTTGCGAGGGGATCTTCGTCCTCGTCCATAATTTGTTACTGGAAGTGAAAAAATATTTAAAGAACATTATGAAGGCAATTAGAGAGAGAAGAATGGGCCGCCTCTCCTTGGCCTCTCCTCCCTCTTCTCTCTCGCAAGCGTTTATCCTATGCATCATACAAAGATAGATAAAGTAGTGCGCTTACCAACGTAATCGAACGTCTGTCCCTGCGACTTGTTGATTGTGATAGCGAATGCGGGGAGAATGGGAAATTTTCGTCGTCACAAAATAAATTCCAACGTCGTGTCGGTGGGGGCTAAGTCGATTCTGGCAATCGATTCTGGTAATCAACACAGAATCGCCTCGTTCTGCAGATCGATTCCAATGTAATCGAACGTCTGTCCGTGCGCCTCCATCGTTCAAATCTACGTGTCCCCTGCATAAAAACGACGGGAAGGGCAGCGTTCATCACACATAAAGCTAGGCGTTTATATGTCACGTGATGCACTTCAACCAATCCGTGCCGCGTTAGTCACAATGCCAATTGCAGACCTGGGTGTTTATATGTAAGGATTCTAAACACAATACTCAATACAGCATTGACAAAGTGGAGGATGGCCTGGGGTCGGCAACCGAAATAACAAGCGGAGACATTTCTTATAACAAGAGGAGACATTTCTTATAACAAGAGGAGACATTTCCTATAACAAGCGGAGACATTTTTATAACAAGAGGAGACATTTCTTTCAACAAGAGGAGACATTTCTTATAACAAGAGGAGACATTTCCTATAACAAGAGGAGACATTCCTATAACAAGAGGAGACATTTCTTATAACAAGAGGAGACATTTCCTATAACACGCGGAGACATTTTTATAACAAGAGGAGACATTTCTTTCAACAAGAGGAGACATTTCTTATAACAAGAGGAGACACATCTTACAACAAGAGGAGACATTTCTTATAACAATAGGAGACATTTCATATAACAAGAGGAGACATTCCTATAACAAGAGGAGACATTTATTATAACAAGAGGAGACATTCTTATAACAAGAGTAGACATTTCTTATAACAAGAGGAGACATTTCTTTCAACAAGAGGAGACATTTCTTATAACAAGAGGAGACATCTTACAACAAGAGGAGACATTTCTTATAACAAGAGGAGACATTTCCTATAACAAGAGGAGACATTTCTTATAACAATAGGAGACATTTCATATAACAAGAGGAGACATTCCTATAACAAGAGGAGACATTTATTATAACAAGAGGAGACATTCTTATAACAAGAGTAGACATTTCTTATAACAAGAGGAGACATTTCTTTCAACAAGAGGAGACATTTCTTATAACAAGAGGAGACATCTTACAACAAGAGGAGACATTTCTTATAACAAGAGGAGACATTTCCTATAACAAGAGGAGACATTTATTATAACAAGAGGAGACATTTATTATAACAAGAGGAAACATTCCTATAACAAGAGGAGACATTCTTATAACAAGAGCAGACATTTCTTATGACAAGAGGAGACATTTCTTATAACAAGAGGAGACATTCTTATAACAAGAGGAGACACATCTTACAAGAAGAGGAGACATTTCTTATAACAAGAGGAGACATTTACTATAACAAGAGGAGACATTTCTTATAACAAGAGGAGACATTTCCTATAACAAGAGGAGACATTCTTATAACAAGAGGAGACATTTCTTATCACAAGATGAGACATTTCTTATAACAAGAGGAGACATTTCTTATAACAAGAGGAGACATTTCTTATCACAAGATGAGACATTTCCTATAACAAGAGGAGACAGGAAAATTGAGTTTTCAGGTCTATACGTTGTACAGCCGTTTCAATAGGGGCAAAGAAAATCTATTTTTTAATGTTTCTCCCTTGTGATGGCACTTGGTAGGATGAACGTTGAGATTTATAAGGGCACGGGGTGACCAATAAGGTCTGAATTTGCCTGTAATTAGGTAGGCACTGATTAGGGGTTGACAGGTATGCCTGAGTCAGTACTTAAAGAGCCTCAGGTTGCCGACCCCTGGGTGGATGAGGGGAAGGCGGTGCACATATGCCACATCTGTCCCTCCATTTAAAACAAATGATCGGGTTTTTTGTTCGTAAGATGAACACACTGACAGAGCACATGGAAGGTTACTGTGTACACAGTACAAAGGCACAGGTTCGCCAGATGTCACACAACAGCACACACTACAATGTTTGTGGAAAACCTATTATTACATTTCTGAACTCGCCATACTCATGAGTGTAGTGTGGATAAAACGAATACTTTATCAACATAGTGCATAACATAATGTGTTTAGATACTTATTATGTTCGTATGCATGTACAGTGAGGGAAAAAGGTATTTGATCCCCTGCTGATTTTGTACGTTTGCCCACTGACAAAGAAATGATCAGTCTATAATTTTAATGGTAGGTTTATTTGAACAGTGAGAGACAGAATAACAACAAAATCCAGAAAAACGTATGTCAAAAATATTATAAATTGATTTGCATTTTAATGAGGGAAATAAGTATTTGACCCCCTCTCAATCAGAAAGATTTCTGGCTCCCTGGTGTCTTTTATACAGGTAATGAGCTGAGATTAGGAGCACACTCTTAAAGGGAGTGCTCCTAATCTCAGCTTGTTACCTGTATAAAAGATACCTGTCCACAGAAGCAATCAATCAATAAGATTCCAAACTTTCCACCATGGCCAAGACCAAAGAGCTCTCCAAGGATGTCAGGGACAAGATTGTAGACCTACACAAGGCTGGAATGGGCTACAAGACCATTGCCAAGCAGCTTGGTGAGAAGGTGACAACAGTTGGTGTGATTATTCGCAATTGGAAGAAACACAAAAGAACTGTCAATCTCCCTCGGCCTGGGGCTCCATGCAAGATCTCACCTCGTGGAGTTGCAATGATCATGAGAACGGTGAGGAATCAGTCCAGAACTACACGGGAGGATCTTGTCAATGATCTCAAGGCAGCTGGGACCATAGTCACCAATAAAACAATTGGTAACACACTACGCTGTGAAGGACTGAAATCCTGCAGCGCCGGCAAGGTCCCCCTGCTCAAGAAAGCACATACATGCCCGTCTGAAGTTTGCCAATGAACATCTGAATGATTCAGAGGACAACTGGGTGAAAGTGGTGTGGTCAGATGAGACCAAAATGGAGCTCTTTGGAATCAACTCAACTCGCCGTGTTTGGAGGAGGAGGAATGCTGCCTATGACCCCAAGAACACCATCCCCACCGTCAAACATGGAGGTGGAAACATTATGCTTTGGGGATGTTTTTCTGCTAAGGGGACAGGACAACTTCACCGCATCAAAGGGACGATGGACGGGGCCATGTACCGTTAAATATTGGGTGAGAACCTCCTTCCCTCAGCCAGGGCATTGAAAATGGGTCGTGGATGGGTATTCCAGCATGACAATAACCAAAAACACACGGCCAAGGCAACAAAGGAGTGGCTCAAGAAGAAGCACATTAAGGTCCTGGAATGGCCTAGCCAGTCTCCAGACCTTAATTCCATAGAAAATCTGTGGAGGGAGCTGAAGGTTCTAGCTGCCAAACGTCAGCCTCGAAACCTTAATGACTTGGAGAAGATCTGCAAAGAGGAATGGGACAAAATCCGTCCTGAGATGTGTGCAAACTTGGTGGCCAACTACAAGTAACGTCTGACCTCTGTGATTGCCATCAAGGGTTTTGCCACCAAGTACTAAGTCATGTTTTGCAGAGGGGTCAAATACTTATTTCCCTCATTAAAATTCAAATCAATTTATAACATTTTTGACATGCGTTTTTCTGGATTTTTTTGTTATTATTCTGTGTCTCACTGTTCAAATAAACCTACCATTAAAATTATAGACTGATCATTTCTTTGTCAGTGGGCAAACGTACAAAATCAGCAGGGGATCAAATACTTTTTTCCCTCACTGTATATGTATGTTGAACTTCTTTCGCACCATACGTAGCCAACCGTGCTAACCGGAGGTGCTAATATTCCCTGCAGAGACGTTGCTGATTATTTTGTGCTCTGTATAATGAATGCCTTTTTGCTAAGCTTCTGGATTTCTTGAGCCATCACTACGCAGGTGACTGTATAATAATATAATTGACGTCAAACCATCCTCTCCCTCGTTCCGCAGAAAATCGGAAGCCGGAAGGGATGCATTCTGCTGTCCCGCATCCGCTGCGTGGACCGTGTGCTGACCACCCCCTACACCAGCCCAGAGAAGCGCTTCCCCTTCCAAGTGAGGAGCCCCTTCACATCAAACACAAGGGCCCAACACACAAGCACCCACAAGAGGCCATCACAGACACCTGCCTTGACTTGACAGACACACCACCATTAAACAACGGCAGTAGAAATCCCTCAAGGGATGTGACTGCTCGATTTGTGCTTTGATATTTGCATTGTCTTTGTGCTGTTTGTCTTTTGGCGTTCTCTGGTCGAACACCGGTGAGACAAGGCCATTCAGGACACAGTATCTCTGGTGTAGGCCAATCAGTTTCAAGGACAATTCATGCACTATTATCAGAGCTTGTTTGTTTGCATGTTTTACCACAGACATGTGTGGTTAATGCAGACTGAATGCCTTGTGATGGTTGTCTAGTTGGTGTTTAGACATTGTAACACCTCCCGTATTCCTGCTGGAAAGGGGTAAAGCATATTATATGTATTTGTAATCATCTTGATACTGATAAATAGGGTCCCATAGATATAATCCTCAATGTTATAAGAGAACAGGGTTGTTAAAATCGTATATATTTTTCCATTCCCGGTAACCAAATGAAAAAAAGAAAATAACTGGTTCATCTTTAAATCGAAATAAAACAGCTGATTGTTACCAGGTTTCTGCAGATATAGAAATGTCCAGAGCAATAAAAACATCCTTACCTTTTTAACTAAGACACTAAGGTGCACAGCATGAAAGAATAGACCAAAAAATACCCTCTTCTGGAGTCCCCTCCAGAGGAAGCCCTTCCACCATTCAACTCAGATACGAGGGTGGTTTGGGCCTTCACCCGTGCATAGCGGTGCCTTTATGACTCCAATTCCAGTGGGAAGTCACGGGTTCATGACTTTCACAACTGGTATTCGATTTTTTTCACACTTTTACCGATTTACCGGTTGTCTGCAACAGCTCTGTATGAGTTGTTCCAGACGATGCCTCTCACCGTCTTTCTGTCCACATTTCCTGTAAATATTTGGCAGCAAACAGCTTAGATTAGTTCCACGAACCGCCCCTCCTTCGGACTGTCAACCCTTACATTTGTAGAGGAGTATTGTGAGTAACCAATGAGGGGGCGAACAGAAGGAGGTGCTAACGAGTTGACAGTCAAGGATGACGTAACGTCACGGGTTACGTAAGGGGCTTCGGAGAGCACCTTCTTGAATAAGGGCGGGGCTGAGCTGGGGGGAGTAGCCGCCCAAGGGGTTCTTAAGGGGGACCCCGTGATGAAGGCGGGGTCGTCGTGGGGAGCCAGGGTAAGGACCGGCCAGAGTGAGTGTCTCTCTCCTCATCGGGGAGTGGTGTTGGCTGAACCCCCACTCCGGGCAGACGAGTGAGAGAGCCTAAGGGATAGCCGGAGTGCAAGAGTAGGGTAGAGGACCAGAGTCTCTCTGCTCGTCGCGGAAAGGTGTTGGCTGATGCCCCGTCCCGGGCAGACGAGTGAGAGAGCCCAGGGATAGCCGAGGGTAGGGTCCAAATAGTATAAGTGTTCGGGGAAGGACCGAGATAGAGTGCACCTACACTGGTGTGAGTGTAGGATGTCGAGTGTGAGAGTGGTTTAATAAATGGCAACAGCCCTTACCAACACTTACTTCACCTGAAATGGTACTTTCTTCAAACAAAATGAAGGTACACCCATGGTTCCCCCTTATCTCCAGTCATAGCGAATGTTTTCATAGAGAAATTTGAAAATGATGCAATCCAGACATCCACCGTACATCCTTCCTTGTGGAAGAGATATGTGGATGACACTTTCGTCATTTGGCCACATGGCCTGCCAGCATTGAACCAATTCCTCAACCACATCAATTCCATACACCCATCCATCAAATTCACCATGGAAGTGGAGAAGGATGGTAAGCTAACATTCCTGGATGTTTTGTTTGAGAAGAAGCCTGATGGCTCTTTGGGACATTCTGTCTAAGGAAAGCCACCCACACAGATTCCTATCTGAAACCTGAATCCCACCACCATCCAGCACAGAAGAATTCCCTCATCAAAACCCTGCACCATAGGGCCCACTACATTTCTGACCAACACCACCTAACAAGTGAACTGGAATACGTACACCAGTTCCTCAAGATGAATGGATACTCAGACCGTACTATCCGCAAAGCTGTTTCTCCAACCATGGAGAAACAACCCCCTGAGATGTCGATCAAAACCATCACATTACCATACATAGCAGGCATTACCAAAAAGATTGCCAAAATCTTAAACAAACAAGATCCAGGTCCGATTCAGTACAGTACACAAAATCCGTGATCTAATCCCATCTGTGAAGGATGTCATTCCTGATTTGCAATACCCTGGAGTCTACAAACTAAGTTGCATCTGTGGCGATTGTTACATTGAGGAAACGAAACGTCATATGTCTGACCGTATCCCCGAGCATAAGTCAGATCTGAAACACGGCAGAACTAATTCCTCCACCGTTGCTGATCATTGCTATAATGCTGCGGGCTCTCATGATATTGTTTTCTCCGAGACCAAGGTGCTCTGCAAGTCGTCTGGCTACCATCAAAGATTTGTTCATGAAGCCATCCAGATATATAAACATAGACATAACTTCAACCAAGATGATGGATACAAATTGAGCAATCATTGAGAAGATGTTATTAACCAAGTAAAATTTAACTGTTCATAGTTGTTCCATCTTATTTACCGGGTACTAGTCTATTTTACCAAGTTAATTGCATCCTCAGCATTTATCAGTACGGCTATTTTGCTGTGGGCGCCATCATCTATCTTGGCAGCAATCATGTTGCTTCTTTTGCTCTCAGCATCCCTGCAGAGCTCGTCCTTCCTCTCCCCATTCGCCCCCTCCCTTTCCCCCCACCCTCCCCCTCTCTGACTTATTTAACTGCCCTAACTCTGGCATCTCTCCCACTTCAGTAAAAAATATTGCTGTGGTTGTCACACCTGATGATTGCTTGTGTTGCAATCGAAACGTCGTGATTTTATTTATTTTATTTTTTCACCTACGTGACTTTACCGAAAGAACCAAAGAATATGGATCCTTGCAGTCACGAAAACTTCAAATCTAGAATGAAGCCCTGAAAGTATTCCTTGTCTCCGCATAGTTCTACTGCACAACACATTGTATCCACATGTCCAGCCGAGAACACAGACACTGCCCTGCTAACCCCGTGCTCCTCCTGTGTATCTGTGAAAAAAGATCTTCATAGCTCATCGGATCCCTCATCCAGTCTAAATAATATTGCGATGAGCGTCAACACGTGTATTCAATTTAGAAAAGGCAACTTTAAGACCTTGGGAAATGGGATGATGCGAGGGGATTCCAGAGTTGAGCAGTGCGAGTGACGAAGCAGAGATGGGTTGTGGTCTACAGTGTGGTGAATCGGTGAGTTAGTGGGTGAGTCGGTGAGTTGGTGGGTTTAGTTGGTGGGTGAGTCTGAACGTTGGTCGGTGAGTAGATGAGTTGGTGGGTTAGTTGGTAGGTGAGTCGGTGAGTTTATATGAGTTGGTGAATTGGTGGGTTAGTTGATGGGTGAGTCGGTGAGTTGGTGGGTTAGTTGGTAGGTGAGTCGGTGAGTTGATATATGAGTTGGTGAATTGATGGGGTAGTTAGTAGATGAGTTGGTGAGTTAGTGTGCGAGTTGGTGAGTCGGCGGGTTTAGTTGGTGGGTGAGTGAGTTGTTGTGACCTACAGTATGGTAGCTGGCCGCTGTAGATGAGACGAAACAGTCTGTTCATGAGAAAAGTCACCGGCATGATAGTAGTAATAAAAGAGTGATAAGGTGACTGACCGCAAGTAAGTGGTTGGCATGCGTTAGTGCTGGTTGGGACTCAGGCGAAAACGTTTGTGGGAGGATCAGGTGTGGCGGTCGAAGATTCCAGGATTCACCTTTCAGTTCATATGAAGAGTCTCGGCACCATACGCCGACCAAAATATGTCGTTTGATCACCACGTGAAAAATATAGTCAGGTCCTGCAATTTTCATATCAGGGCTCTACGACACTTTCAACCACTATTGAGTCGTGATGTAGCCAACACGGTGACGTGTAGCATAGTATCGATGAGACTCCATTATTGCAACTCGCTACTCTATGAGACGTCTGGCAAAATCATTACCAAGCTGCAGCGTGTACAGAATTCTCTGGCACGTGTCGTGACGGGTACTGCAATATCCGACCATGTCCGCACAGTGCTCGCCAAGCTGCATTGGCTTCCGGTTGCCGGACAAATACATTATAAGGTCGCACTTATTACACACAAAGCGCTTGCCACAAATGAACCACAATACCTTGCTGATCTCGTCAAGGAGCATACACCGTCACGTGAACTCTGATCATCCTCTCAGTGGCTTTTGGCTGGCTATCGAATAAAGACGGTCACTGCATCATGCGCTTTCCAACGCGCTTCTGTGGCCGTCTGGAACGCTCTTCCTTCCGATATTAGGAAGCCAGTGGAGCTATGCACTTTTAAATCATCCAGATTAAAAACTAATTTCTTTAAAACTGCTTTTTGTGTTTAATTTGTTGTCCTTCCCCTGCACCACCAATTAGCACGGTTGGCTATGGATGGCGTGAAAGAAGTTCGACATACATACCGATTGGCCGAGACGAATATAAACATTCTGTGACCCATCGCAATGCGCAATGCTCAAGACACCCATCTCTTATTATAATTTGATTCTTATTTATATGGTACTGTAGACGGATTTTATTTATTTCAGTGTATTTACTACTTTACTTTTGTATTAACATTAATATAATGGAGTTGAATCCGTTATATTGAAATTTCGTATATCGAATATTCGCAAATGGAGGTGAGTGCTGCAGTGGAATCTGAACTCAGAAGTCTGTGGAACACATTTACATGCCAGAAAATCAAATCCAAGTTCACAGGACTGTATACACATTCAAACCATTGTTTTAATCAGCGCAGCAATCTCGTGGGAGGGACTGGTCATTGAGTACACCCACACACATGGCAGTACATTTAATGGTTTTAATTTTAACAATCTCCACCACAGAGGCATGGTCAGGTGTGA